CCGCCCCACCCCAACCCGGCCTAGGGCTTCCCGCGACCCTGGATCCGGGGTTTGGGGGGGTGGGATATCAGGGGTCCTAGGCCCCAAGACTGAGGAAGAGCATCAACCAGCAGAGCCCTGGAAGATGGACACAATGAAGGTTGACGAGTTTTTATGTGGATTTAGGAGCCGCCATCTAGTGGGAAGAGCCTTAAAGAATTTTTCTGGGCTAGGGGCATAGCTCAGTGGCAGAGCACTTGCCTATCATGCGCAGAGCCATCCCCAACACACACACACACACACACACACTCCCATAGCACTTTATTTTGGATTGTCTACACCCAAGAGAATGCTCAAGCATGGGCACGACAGAAAGAATTTCTGCTGTGTCCTATCTATTCACCAAAATCAGTGTACCTTTTCGCTCCGGATGCCGGTGGGCAGCACAATGATCCCAGTAGAATAAGACAGCCTGGGTTCAAATTCGGATTCTCCTACTGCCTGGTACAGAATGTGACCTCGTGCAATAGCTTTACTCAAAGCACGTGAGTTTCTCCCACGGTCAAGTGGAGTGGTGATAGGAGTTATTTCATAGGATTTCTATAAAGAATAAGTCAACCTATGTGCAGCACACAGGTTGACTACTGGCATTTTAGTCACGGGGTAAACGTTAGCAAGTGTCAGTGTCTAACCTCAGCTTTCCTAAGGAAGGGCTCGATGGAGCAGTCAGTAGATATGGCAGCAGTACTGCTAGGGACTGGTATTTGTACCTCCTAACCCAGCATGCAAGCCCCACCCACTGTCCACCTTTCTCTCCATCAGCCCACTTCAGGTGTTCCGTTATCTGGCAAAATGGAAAAACCAAAGCTCTGAGCAAAGTTTCTGTATCGCTATATTTCCAACATCCTTACCAAGCAGAGGAAATGTTTCCCCTCTGAATCGTTCCTTATCATCTCCTTGATGGCAGATTTGTTCCTCTGCACCTTCTGCACAGAAATACAGTAGCGAGCATGACACAGGGCAGGGGCCCATGAAGAGGTGTGCCCTGTCTCCTGAGCTCTTTCAGGCTGTGCTGTGCTTCTCTTCATCTCTCAGGGCAACTGAGAGCTAGGCACTGCAGGGTGGGTGTGAATGGATTCACAGGCAATAAGGGTTTATTGTTGTTTGAGGCTGAGGATGAAACCAGAGGTGAGACCCAAGCACTATATTCCTGTTTGAGCTGCAGACACTAAAACAATCAGTAATGGGTGGTGGTTTGTGTTACACCTTCCTTTAGTATCATTTGGCATTTCAAAAGCAATTAAAGCTAGGCCTGGTGGCGCACACCTGTATACCAGCACTTGAGAGGCTGAGCCAGGAAGATCCTGAGTTTGAAGCCTGGGCAACACAGTAAGTCCTAGGCTGGTCTGGACTACATAGTGATGATAGCTTTATAATATACTTTTGCAACTAACTTGTGCTCTAGAGAGTATTTGTTTTTAAAAATACTAGAGAGTCCCATCCCCTCCCCTTAAGAATCAGTGACCCAGCCAGGTGTGATGATGAATGCCTGCAATACCAGTACAGGAGGATCGCAAGTTTCAAAGTGGGCAATTTATCAATAAAAGGACTTAGGGATGCCGCTCAATGGGAAGGCCCTGGGTTTGATCCCCAGTACCACCAAAAAAAAAAAAAAAATCACTGATCTACCGCTTACTCTGTTTGTAACAGGACCCTGTTACAGGGAATATTTATGATTCCCTCGACCCTGTTACCTTACCCCTACCCCAGCTATTGCAGCAGAGTAGTAACTACTCTGAAAAAGAAACAAGTTTTGGTTCTCAAACTCAAAAGTGTGTGGCCATTACCTGGAGAGCTTGTTAATCCCTAGAATGAGAGGCCCTGTCCCTTTAGGTTTTTATTTCCTATTCCTTTTTGTTTGTTTGCTTGTTTGTTTTATTTTCTTTTTTGAGACAGGGTCTTGCTATGTAGTTCAGGCTGGCCTTGAACTCACTATGTAGCCCAAGCTAGCTGGCCACAAATTCACAGTGATCCTCCTGCCTCAGCCTCCCTAGTGCTGGGATTGCAGGCGTGCGCCACCACGCCTGACTCACACAGCTTCCTCCTGATGGGAGAGAGCACATCCTAGTCCATCCCAGGTGGACTCCTGCCTTCTTGACTGGATGTAAGCCTTCTGTTGGCCACACTTTTACAGAGCTACCTCTTAAAGGTAGAGAACGGAGAATTTTAAAATCCTTCAATCATCCTTTAAAAATTCAGTAAGTATTCATTTGACTTTTTTAAAACTTTTTTATTTTTGGTTTTTTGAGAAAGAATCTTCCTATGTGTTTCAGGTTGGACTTGAACTCATGGTCATCCTCCTTCCTCAGGCTCCTAAGAGCTGGGATTTAAGGCCTGTGCAACCATGACCAGCTTTCATTTACTATTTACTTTTTTGGCTGTCTTGTGTGGGCTCTAGAAAATAATGGTAACAGAACCAGGATCCTTACTTGTGGGGCATTTGTGTTTTGGTAAGAGAAAACAGATAAGAAAGCCGAATACACGGTGTATCAGGTGGTATGTCACAGCAGGGTGGGGACAGGGAGTATGACACATACAGCTCTGACTACCGCCGTTTTAGGGCGTGCAGTTGCCAACTGTCTCTGAACTGCTGTATGACCTTGGGCAGGTCATTGTGACCTTGGGCACGTCTCCTAATCTCAGGATACAGCTCCTCTTTTACGAAACACAGATAATATGCTGCGAGGAGGAACAGATACTTATGTAAAGTGATGGCCATAAAATAAGGGTTCAGCATTTTTTTGATTAATATTACTCATACTTACACTGTTCCAAAGGCCTTATTGCTCATTTGACTGATATGTGTTACTTTCTTCCTCACCTTCCAGAGCGTCTCTTCTGTTGAGATCACCATCATCTCCAGAGCCGAGGCTTTCCATGGCACCTGTGGTGTACTGTTTCCTCCTCCCTCCCCACCCACTTAAATTTTTCTCCCAGGGCATCTAAACACCAAGTCAGCCATGGGAATGCGTTCATTCATTGGCCTCACGGGCATGAAGAGGGTACCTACCCTGTGCCAGACTCGAGTGGGCTCAGGGGGAAGGGAACCAAGGCTACCCATGAGGAACACAGATAAGGGTTGAGGCAGAAAGTTAACCACTCAGTGTTACCATAATAAATTCAGTTAGTGATAGGTTCGACGAAGAAGCGGGGGAATACTGGGTGGTCCTCAAGGAATGAAGTACTCCGTTCTACAAAGTGGTCAGAGAAGTCTTCAGTGGCTGGTTGAGCCCTGAACTGAGATGCAAAGCAAGGAGCAAGCCATGTGGAGCAACAGCAAAGGACCTTTGCCAGGCTGTGTGGGGACATCGTGTGCAAAGGCCCTGAGGCAGGAACAGCTTGGCACAGTCTGGGAACAGAACGAAAGCCAGTGTCACTACAGCATGATGAGAGAGAACACAGTTTGGTGGTGATATGGGACAGCTGGGCTGGGGCCAGATAGAGTAGAGCATGGGAAGGAGGTCTGGATTGTTCTGTGCGTTTTAGCTACTACTAATGTGGTTCAAGAACAACAGCACAGTATGGCCTGGGAACTTGTTAGAAATGCAGACTTGAGCCCAACCCCCAGATCAACTGAGCCACACTCTGCATTTTCGCAAAATTCCTACGTGACCCAAATACACAGGTTTTAGTAGTGCAGATCTCTTACTACAAAGAAGCCTCTTGGAAGATCCCTCCAGCTGCCAAACGGAGAGCGGGTGGTAGGGAGACAGGGGAGGGGCAGGGCACCTGTGTTGAGACCCCTGCAGTGGCCAGGGAGAGGTGGGAGAGTAGCAGCAGGGTGGAGTGGAGGAGATGGAGGAGCCAGAGTCAGCAGGACAAGCAGATGGGCTGGATGCGGAAGGAGGGGAGGAAGAAGGGTCTGGGCTGTGCTCCTGTAAAGAGAGGAGCGGACCCTGCACAGGCGGAGCCTTACCTGCAGCCAGGGGAGGGCACCCCCTCTGGTGCATCTCCACTCTGCCCTGCCCCCAGGCCCCCCCACCACCACCTCAGAAAGAGCCTAGGACAGCGCAGCCCAAGCCAGGCTTTCCTGGGTTTCACCTTCAATCAGATCACCCAAGAAACATGCAATCACCCTGCAGAGATGCACTTTTTTTTTTTTCTTTCCTTTCCTTTTGTAGTACTGGGAATTAAACCCAGAGCCTCACACATAGTCTAGTGCTCTACAGCTGAACTACACTCACAGCCCAAGATGCGCTTCTTTATGGTTATTACATACTATGGGTGCGCACGCATTCACTCATTCAGCACATAGGCACTGAGCCCCCAGGAGTCACTCGGCGCCACGCCACACTGAGGGTACAGCGATGACCCACAGAATTGTCCCTCTACCTTCAGGGGATGGGGTTCAAGCCTCCTGGTGGATTCCCAAATCCGCAGATGCTCAAGTCCTTTAGAGAAAAATGGCATAGCATATCCAGGTATGGTAGTATTTGCCTGTTGTCCCGGCCACTCAGGA